CCCCCCCCTCTCTTTCTCTCAGTTGTTTGAAGCCTGCCTTGCCCTGTCCTGACTCACCTGACTCCTTGAAAGTCATTTCTCCAAGGAGAAGTCTTATTTCTCCTCAGCCCATTCCCTCTTCCCAAAGACCCTTCTGTGTGTCAGCCTGTACCTCTCCGTTCTTCCACAGTATGGCATACACCACATTTTGTTTTAAAAATATAATTATGAAAAAATACTTTCCCAGGTTAGACAGGTAGCGTGTAGCTTCTCTTATTCATCACAGGTTTATCCTCAACATCTAGAACCTGAAAGGCTCATAGCTATTTGAGTGCAAGCGTGCTTCCTGGAGGTGGACATGGGCAGAGCACTCGTGTGAGAATGTCTTAGGAAACTTCCGGGGGCTGGGAAGACAGACCCGTTCCTCAAAGTGCTCACTCTGCAAGCTCGGGGACAGGGGTTTGGATCCCCAGAGACCCTGTAAGAGGATGGGCGTAGGGGTGTGTGTCTGCAGTCCTGATGCTGAAGAGGCAGAGATGGAGGACAGCTGGATCTGCTTGCCAGCTACTCCAGTCAGATCTGTGAGCTCCAGGTCCATTGAGAGAATCTGTCTCAATAAGGTGGAGAGGCATTGAGAAAGACACCTGACATGACCTCTGATTTCTACACACATGTGCACGCACACATGCACACAACAGCAACAAAACCCCAGCACACACACACACACACAAATGAAACCTTTTATTTTGTGTGGTAATTAAAGAAGGTAGATTTGGTCTCTTAAACTCTGTGGATCATGTGTTTTTAGACTTAACCTCTTTAGGGCAGGGGACAGAGATGAGTTTGTTGTAGCTACTGAAGTTAGGGCACGTGTGTTATGTATGCAGTTGAATACATGGGTCTGAAACTCAGGTAAACAGGCCATTCTTGGGGAATAGATTTGGAGATCGTGAGCATGGTCTGTGCAAAGGCTCCCTGGTGCCCCAGCGTTGATACACAGCAGAATGGGCAAGCAGAGACAGAGGCTATGTGTGGAGGCTCCCAGGCTTGCATGCTCCAACTAGATTTCCTTGCCTGAGGATTTATCCATTTGTTTTTCCTCACAGAAATGGCCTCCACCTTCAGCCCCAGAGAGTGTAAATTGTCCAAACAAGAGGGCCAGAACTATGGCTTCTTCCTGCGCATTGAGAAGGACACTGATGGCCACCTGGTCCGGGTGATTGAGAAGGGGAGCCCCGCAGAGAAAGCAGGGCTCCTGGATGGGGACAGAGTTCTCAGGATCAAC